GTAGGCACTGCAGTGAAAAATATCGACACTAGCTAAGAATCGTTCCACATTGAAGGGGTCTTCCACGATCAGGGACAAAACCAAGACACCCGGGTTTGCCACGCCATCTCTGACGGGTCTCTCTACAAAACCGGTGAAGATGTCATCACACAAAACCAACACGGAAAGTCAGAAAAAAAACGAAAAAAATTGACTACACAGATAGAAATGTTTGTCCGTGCGCCACGGGTCGATGTCGCCCGCATGCTCCGGTGCCGCTGCTCCATCCGGCGCCGCTGTAGTCAGTCCGAGCAAAACGCCACTCGACCTGCTCCGTCCGTACACGCTCTCGTTGCTGTCCTTCCCAGTCGGTTCCTCGCTTTCTCCCTCATTGCACTCAAGGTTCTTGGTCTGAAAAAAATAAAAATTATCACGCCGAATGGTCAACCAGCACAGTTCAGCTCGTCGCCACCTGCTCCCTCCTCCTTTGATGGCGAAGCCAGGTTACTCAGTCAGGCAATACAGCTCCCTCTAGCAAACCTAGGGCCGTGTAGTGCCCGTCCACCTTTCTGATTGATGGTGTCTGCCTCCGCGCACAAAAATGAGATGTGCATCACTGCCTACGCCGACGGCCAGAAAGGAAGAAGGGAGAGTAGTTGAGAAGGACTAAATTACCGGTCCGCCATCTGGTGGTCTCCTTCATTCGGGTGTGATAGGGTACTGGACAGATCATCAGCGAGCACATTAGCGAGGAGATGGATGAAAGCATCGAGTCCATCACTCAAAGCGCATGGCCCGATATTTTGGTGGCATGTAGGGGCAAGAACAGGAGACTATGTCACTATTCAGGGCAGTGCCATGACTCTATTCGATATATAGATATCATATCGGGTTCATGTACGTACGTACATACATACATGGCATGTCGAGATTGTGATAAGAGATTGTTATGCCACTATGTCGGGCCACACGCATGGATGGGTATTCTGAGAAATGCCCTCTACCCTCCGTTCAGGGCCGGTCGCGGCTGTTCGTTGCGGGAGCACTCGGGCGTCATGTATGTTGTTGTTGTTGTTTCTCACATAAGCTCTAAAAAAGAAGGATTGGGAACCCGTGTTTGCGGCCTACGCCACTTATTTATCGGGTGAGACTGTTTTGGTGATGTA